GGATGATAAAGACAATTCAGTAGCCTATATGTCTTGTTGTTGACTCAAAGTATATACAGAACAGCAAATATGAACGCGCATTTTGAAATGCATCAAGTGATTTTAAAAGGATCAACTCCGTTCAGACAAGCAGACGAGCCCAGAATGCAATGCGTTAAATTGCACACTAGCGGAAGTGCAAGCGTCTGAGAGTGCAAGCGCCAAGCTGCAGCCAGACCCTTCTCATTTGTTTATTTTGAATACGCGCCCTCTAGCGACGAAAAATTACATATTGTACCTTTAACATGATTCCAAATCGGACAGAAATAAAACTGAATTCATGACAGGATGGGACCAGACAGAACGTTTTGCTTTTGCTCAGTGAGTTAGCTTACAGAAGAGTGTCAAGTTAATTCTTCTGAACAGCATTTGAAACTTTGATAATATTATAGGCTAAAGGTTTTCTGTAGTTTTATCAAACAGAAAGGAATGTTTAAAGTGAGACAAAGCAACTAATACTTCAACACCAACTCACAGAATATAAAATGTCACCAATGTCATCATCATCCATTATATTAAGATTATTTATTATTATTATTATTATTTATACATAAGATTATTAAGATTACGTGTGTGTGTACATCTGAAAATACACAGCATATATATATATTGTTCCACGATTAATATGAGTATAATGTAAAATATAAAAGTATCCATCATGCTACCTACTCAAAGCAGTTTAACACTAAATCTGTGCTCACATAGTAAGGAGACCATTTACTAAAACGTTACCAATTCAAACAACTTCGCCATTATGAGGTGAGTGTTTCTTAGCGAAGGACGCCATCCAGTGGTGTTTATTAGACAGTGCTTTTCGCGCATGTTAGAAGAACATTTCCAAGTACTCAGATGATCTCAGTTGTGTTATTTGTCATTTGATTGAGCTTCCTTCGACGTTCCTGTACAATCTCCTGGTGCTCCTCGTTAGTCTGGTGAAGGCTGTTATATATAATTGTAGTATTAACAGTGGGATGCAGAGATATTGCGATTTACACCAGAGTGCAGTAGAATACTGAATAGCCTGATGCAACGAGAGCATGCTGCTATTTTCAGCGGGGTGCAAATAGCGTCTACATTTTAAAGCTTTTAGTCTTAATAGACCTGAATCATGAAATAATGAAACTATTTATTCATATTGTGCACGGAAGTAAATGCATTTTCAAATAGGTTACTTTTAGATAGCATTTGGTAATGATGTATTTATATGATCTCTCTCTCTCTCCACACACACATCTCTCTCCCCACACACACACACACACACACACACACACACACACACACACACACACACACACACACACACGGAAGCCACAGAAAATGTGTGTGTGTGTGTGTGGAAAAACTATGGTGAGAGTGGTGCATGTACTGCTGAGAGGCTTCAAGTCAGTAATGAAATGAAATTAAACTGTGATGTTCGTCTCCTCCTGTTTTTGGAACCTTCCTTCTGGAGTCTACAGCTTGAAACTGGTAAAACCACATGGCTTTACCTCATCAGCAGTTCTTCATTCCCAGAGGGTATTCCTATGCTATCCCGGATTCCAAGTCTAACCAGGAAAATGGGTTTGAAAAACTTCCAATGCACTATAACATCATGTCTAATGATCTAGAACAAATTAAAGCCAATATAAATTGAAAACTCAGTTTGTTTCTCAGTTAAAATGAATGATAAATTGAAATTAAGTAAAAAATATTTGAAATGAAAAAAGGTGCCAATTCATTCCATATTTCAAATGCATATGTTTTTATTTGTGCTGCCTATAAAAAGATATGTAAGTAGAACGGATGTTATACAAACACAGCGTTCAGATGCAATGCCAGTGTTATTTTAGTATCATTTGTAATATATAATATTTTGGAATATATTATTATATATTACGATAATGTATTAGAAAGGTATATTTTCAGTTTTAATTTTAGTTTAATCATTTTATTTAGCCAGTTTTTGTCATTTTTATTAGTTTTTTTTATATTTATGTTAAATTTTCATTATTATTTCAATTTTTTTTGTTTGAGTAATTTTAGTACTTAAAACTTTATTTCAGTTATTTTTGTTTCAAATTTTAAGTTTGTACTATATTTTATTTCAGCTTTATTTCAAATAACGCAGTCAATTTTAATATGCTAACAATAAGAACATGGACTGATGCCTATCTAGCTCTGTTTTGGAAAACAAAATATGTGTTAAATAACAACCTCTTGACCCAGTTTCTGTTGAAACACATATTACTCATTGTACTTGTCATGATCTTGTTTGTACAGGTTGTCTTGTTTTTGAAATATAATCTCTGACAGAACATCAGCTGGCTATTGGGTATGAAGTGTCCTGGGAATACTGGGAGTCCATTGTAATTAAGATACTGATCTAACATACAATGGTTCATGAAAGGTATGCACTGTTTATGTACAAACAACATTCGGCTATTTCAGTGCTACCAGCATAAAATGTGAAAAATCAAATGAGTCAAATTCAAAATAAAAGATGAGTCGACTTAATGCTAGTCTAGATCTTGTTCAGATAAGCAATGCCTGAGGAGTCTAAACACTTCGGCTCTTCAGTGCTTTCAGCATTGCTCTGTTTGTTGGAATCAAGGGGTCAAGGTTTGGCTGGTTAGCATGGCCTAGTTAGTTAGCCACTATGGCAAATGACGTAACTACAGCATCTGGTTGAAAACAGCATCTTACAAGCCATGTACTGCGCCATGTATTCTGATGCACTGTGTTTTCATATTATCCTCTGTTTCCAGGTAAAGTTCAAATTACAGTGCAGCTGTCGGTGATTGGGTTGAATGCATAAAGGAGATGTAAGGCATTTATTCAGAATCAGTGTGAACGTGACATCTTCAGTTGATTCTTTTAGTCTTTTAGGTAAATTTTTTTAAATAAATGTTTGATGTCAGATTTATGACATTCTAAGTCATTATGTAATAAAAATCTGAAATTATGCCATAAAAAGTCAAAATGATCAGATTAAAAAAAAAGTTGATTTATGAGATACTAAGTCAGATAATAAGTCAAAATATGGAAGCCCATTTCTACCACTGTGCCACATAAAATATCATGCTTTGGTTAATCGTAATTATAACTCAAAAGTCAAAATTATGACATACTAAGTCCAACTAACATACTAACATAATTATGAAATAAAAATGAAAAATTATGAGATAAACCGACATAACTATGACATCAAAATTCAAAATTGAGATTTAAAAAAAGTATTATTATGAGAAAATAATCATTGTCATAATTTCGAATTTTATCTCACTAAACTTTATTGACCAGCTGGTTTTCAATGCTCAAACAAATTAAGTTTATTTGAACTGTAAATACACGATTACGTATTTTAACACTGATTTACTGCTTTAAAACTGAGTTCGCAACCACTTATTAGTCTTTAAAATAAACTGATTCCATTTGACAGTGCGCATGCTGCCAGATGGCGCATTTCTGCTTCTGTTTTCAAACATGATTCTCGCCATTGTTGTGGTGTATGTTGTCTCCTATTTGTGTGCACACCTGTAACTGTTGTAAAATGTTGTAAAAATTTTAATGTAACATACTTTACTTTAAACAGTGATTCTTTTCACGTTAAGTTAAGTGAATTTGTGTCTTAAGATGTGACTTATTTATCTAATAATATCTAAATATCTAAAAAATAATTATTTTCTTTAACGTGCAGAATTTTCATAAAAAATTTATATCAAATCAAATCAAATCAAAAATGAACAAAAGTACAAATTATACTTTAGTCTACTCTTATAGCTGTTCCTCATTCTGTTGCTTTAGATATGGAAATTAAATTACACAATGACAAAGGAGAGAAGCTTCTCCTCACAGGAATGTTTCAGTGTCTCTGTTCATACCAGCATTCATTTTAATAGAGAAAGCATTACTGCATGTTAAAAAAACACATCAGAGGAGGTCAAACCTAAAGCAGTCATGTATCAGTCCAGCCTTTGCTATACCCTGTCAAGTAAGTAATGACGATTAAGATACTGGCAGAATTTTAAATGGCTAACATAACAATCCTGACATGAATCTCTGTTCATCAGTTACTCAGGAAAGATTGGTCTGCCTGACCTCACATGTTACCTCACATTAACATGAACATGAAGTAAGTGTTTTTTGACACAGTCAGAGATGACAATTATTGTGAGTTTGATGGCACACATTATAATAGTCTCAGTTCATTAAACACTTCATTCAGAAAACAAAAGAGCATTATAACATGCAAGGACCTACAGACCTATTGACCTCCTCTTGCAGATCCAGGTGAGGTCATCCAGTCATCGTGATGTCAGTACATGAGATAAGATTTTGTGGAAACACTGTATTTTACA